CCGGGCCCGCGCGCGGGAAACCTGAGGGGGCTCTGAGGGGCCGTTATTTCGTCCTCCCTCATCACTTCACTTCACAGCCCAAACTCTCACAAAATACACAAAATTTAATATAAATATAATATTAAAAGTGTCTCTAGAACCACCGTCCAAGTGGTGCCTTAGGATTCCCGCTTTTATATATTTGTGATCCTGCAGTTCTTTAGTGTATAATTCTAAACTCCGTGTTCAGTGTGAGCTGCTGTCCTCACATTTTGGTCAGACCCAAAAATTCCTCTCCAGGCTGGGGAATCGAGGACACCTCAGGCCCCGAGAGATGGAAACAAAAGTGAGTTAGGTAAATGACTTCATTATCTGAAGCTGTAATTGGGAAATTAACCCCCAGTATACAAATGGACCAAACTTATAAAAGTGTGAAAACTCATAACCCATCATCGTTTTTGGGTGTAATCCCTGGGGGCCTTCATCTGCCTGAAATGTACCTGAAGGCCTTTCAATAAATAGAACTCATTTCCCTTAACTCTGGCCTCTCTTTTCAGGTAGCCCCAGAAAAGGCATCACAAGCAGGACAACGTTGGGGTGCGAATTTCTCATTAATGTTATAGAGGAAAAAAAACACATATTTGTGGTTAATGTAGTACAAATCACCCTATTTCCTGATGAGTTTGTTGTTTTATGTTAATGTGTTTCCCCATAAATGCTCCTGAATGTAAATAAAACAAACCTTATTTATTAATCAAGCTGAAATTCTACAACATCTGATTCATAAAGTAGGAGACACTCCTACTGGTCCTGCCTTACCAGATATCACATTTCCATGTATGAAATATCACAGATATTTGATATTCAGATAATTCAGTACCTTGTACTGAGTTGCCAAAAGCTTATTTAAAGTCCTACTTTGAATTTGTCAGCAGTGTTCCACGTGGAACTTAATTAATTTCCAACAATACTGAAAGGGAATGAGACTGACATTGTTTTTTACCTGAGGCACAGAGCACTCACCCTCTGAAGTCCTTAAAACCCGTTTTTAAACACTATTTTTTAATAATAATCAGTTGAAATACCCAGTATTTTCTGTGTGTTTCTGCCTCCAGTGAGAGAGGGGGGAAAAAAAGGGGGGAATTAAAGAACACTGGTAAAAAATGAATGAGGCCAATATCCTTAGTAAAGAGCAAGTGCCTGAAGTGAGTTTCCGGGATCACATACTTGACTGATGTATTTAAACCTTCACTAATTACTTTTTATTTCAATGGAACTACTCGTAGAAGCATTTTTCAAAGAGGGGAGTGTTTGATACAAATGTGCTGTTTCAGAGTGAAGGGAGTTACAATTCAACACGGGACTGGCACTCCTTCCTCATCATGTTCCTCTCCCTGGGAGCTGCTGGTGGGACCTGCAGGTTCCATGTGCTGGTGTAGAGGGGATGTTGAGCAGGAATTGTTCCCTGGCAGGGCGGGCAGGCCCTGCATCCCTGCGATGTCCCAGGCCAGGCTGGACACTGGGGCTTGGAGCAACCTGGGAGAGTGGAAGATGTCCCTGCTTTAAAGTCTTTCCCAACCCAAACCATCCTGGGATTCTGCTGAGGTTGGAACAGACCCTGAAGATCATCGAGCCCAGCCACCCTCATCTCCCCACGAGGCTGCAGTGTAGCTGCGCACTGTGCTGAGGGGGAAAGGAAAACCAATAACTGATGTAAAAGCGCCGTTTCCTTCGCTGTCCCTCGTGTGTCCGTGTACAGCTCCCCGAGGAGCGCGGTCCGGGGCTCCATTTCGGCACGGCGGGGCGGGAAATGGCGGCGCCGGGGCTGGGCCGGCTCCGCCCGCGGGGCCCCGCCTGCGAGGCGAGCGGGCGGCTCCGGCTGCGGGCGGCACCGTCCGCGGCTCCGGGAGACTCCGGCTCCGGGAGACTCCAGCCGCGGCTCCGGCTGCGGGCGGCTCCAGCGCGGCTCGGGCCCGGCCCCGCTCGGGGATGGCGGCGGCCCGGCGGGCGCGGGCGGGCGCTGGCGGCGCGGGGCCGGGGTTCGGGCGGGCGGCCGAGCCGGCGCCGGCGGTGCCGCAGGGGCTGCTGCGGTTGGCGCGGCGCAGCGGGCAGCTCAACCTGGCGGGACGCGGCCTCACCCACGGTGCGTGAAGCCTCAGCCTCGGCGGCGCTGCTGCTCCCGGCGAGCCCCCGGGACCCCGCGGGGCTGCGGGCAGCGAGTCCGGGCGGGGCGGGAGCGGCTCCCGGGGAGCGCCATCTGCTCGCCATCGGCTCACTCTTGTCTGTTTCTGGCATGTTTCCATCGGCTTGTTGTTGTTACCTCTGCAAAAATGTCTCTAGAACACAGTGTCTGTATTATAAATGTTTGTAATATATTAGAAAATCTATTTTATATATATATTATAAATGTAAAAAATGTCTCTAGAACAAAATGGGCTGTAGAGTGACTATAGGCATGTGTGTATTATATATATGTGTGCATGTATATATATATATATATATATGTATATATGTATGTTTTTATAGATAAACACACATATGCCTATGCCTGTGTATATCCATATATATTTATATATCTCTATGTATGTCATCCCCCAAGGCAGAAGGGTTGGAACTAGATGATCACTAAGGTCCCTTCCAGCCCCAACCACTCTACGATTTTATTCACAAAGCACACGCTGGCAGTGAAATCCTGGAGCAAACACCTGCGGCGTTCAGCTGATGGCTGTGTTTGTGCTGCAGTGCCCGAGCACGTGTGGAGGATCAACCTGGACACGCCGGAGGAAGCCCAGCAGAACCTGTCCTTCGGAGCTGCTGACCGCTGGTGGGAGCAGACGGACCTGACCAAGCTGATCCTGGCCTCCAACAAGCTGCAGAGCCTCTCAGAGGATGTGCAGCTGCTGCCTGCCCTCACCATGCTGGATGTGAGTGCGAGGACCCCTTGGTGCTCTGATGGTACTTCCATGTAGGACATGGGGAAACCTCCTGGCTCTTTGTTTTCCATTTCCCTGGTGTATTCATTTCACAGGGGCCTGGAGTGCCAGGACAAGGGGGAATGGTTTCCCACTGCCAGAGGGATAGATGGGATGTTGGGGAGGAATTCTTCACAGTGGGGAGGCCTGAAAAAAAACCCCTAGGTACAAATTAGTAACTGTGTTCTAAAACCTCTCTTTTACAGGTGCATGACAATCAATTGACATCACTTCCTTCTGCTTTAGGGCAACTTGAAAATCTCCAGAAACTCGATGTCAGGTAAGGCCATGTTGCAGAGCAAACGTGAGAAATGCTGCAGTGACTTTCAGGTGTGAGTGAGAGATTGCAGGATATCAACCTTTCTTTAAAAAAATTAATTCCGGATTACTCACTGCAGAATATTATGATATATTGTATGTGTTATATTATCAGTTTTGGATCAAAACTGGTGACCTTGGGTTTGTTGAAATTGTTTTCACCAATATTCAAAGTCACAATTGCTTGGAAGGTGCAAGCACTGATATTCTGAATAATCATACACAAAGTATTTATTTGCTTCAGTCTGGCAGTTCTGAGGATAAAACATTTCCAGTCATGAATAATGCATATTGTAAATAACTGTGTAGATCTTGTTTGTGCTGGAAGGTTCAGAATCTTCTGTTTACTGGGGTAATTTTGTAAATTTGTGCACAAGGAGAGGTTATGCTACCACTGTGTGTGTGAAGTACAAAACAAAAAAAAATCCTGGGATCCATCTGGAATGTTGTACGTTCAGAGTAGGATTAAAAGTCTTCTTGAACAAATAAAGATAGTGAATTGTTCCCAGGGGCCAGGTTTTCCTTAGAGGTGGCAGTGTCCTGACCAGCAGGCTGTGGGACACAAATGTTCTGTGTGCAGTTACATTCCTAAAAACTCCTGAATTCTTGTCTTTTCCCTTTGTGTTCCATGTTTCCACCCCAGCCACAACAAACTGAGGAGCCTTCCCGAGGAGCTGCTGCAGCTGCCCCGTCTGAGGAGCCTCCTGGTGCAGCACAACGAGCTGAGCCAGCTGCCCGAGGGGCTGGGGCAGCTCCTCACCTTGGAGGAGCTGGTAAAGCACAACTTCAAACCTGATTCTTTCTTTGGAAAGGATTGATCTGTGTTTTCCCACCGCTACTTAAAAATCCCTCGGGTTCAGTGGCAGAACTCGGCGAATATTCTGGTGACTGTTCTAATGTCAGTTATTGCATGGTAGGGTTTGTTTTCAGTTTGTTCTTGGTTTGATGTATTTTGGGAAAGCTGAAAAATCCACGGTGATCTGTCAGTCCTGGGGGAGTTGTTTCTTCTCTCACACTTGTGTCAGTTATCAGCCATCTAATTTTACTGTTCTGCCACTAATTAACTTTGCACTAGCAGCACTCCTGGGATGTTTTGGACACCTCTCATGTCTCTCTCTCTGTTTCAATCTGCAGGATGTGTCCAACAACCAGCTCACAGCCATCCCCACCAGTTTTGCTCTGCTGGTGAATTTGGTGCGGCTCAATCTGGCCTGTAACCAGCTCAAGGAGCTGCCTGCAGATCTCAGTGCCATGAAAAGTAAATAATTTTCCTCGAGTTATTAAATGCCAAACAGCCAGTGCTGTGCTTATGCTCAGCAATACACTGCAGGGTTTTAAAATAGATCCTTAAAAAGTTACTGTTTCCTCAAGAAAATCTGAGTTATTACTTTGAGAATCCGTTTGGAAAAATGTTGTTTATTTATGGTGTTTATTTTACATTAAACCCCAGGATAATTATGATGCTGTAGAAAGGTAGTTTTATCTTCTCTTTCCATTTATCACTGGACATTGGCTTCCCCAGGCTTGAGGCAACTGGATTGTACAAAAAATTACCTGGAAACGGTACCTCCTAAATTAGCAACCATGGCATCCCTGGAGCAGCTTTACCTGAGGAAAAACAAACTGCGTTCCTTGCCGGAGTTTCCCTCCTGCAGGTTACTGAAGGTGAGCTTGGAATGGCTGCTCTGCTGGAAATGCATTTGCTGTAAACTTGGAAATAATGGCAGTTACTTTAAACACAAGCTTTTGTGAGGTGCTGTGATCAAAACCAGATGACAGCTCTGTGTTTAGAACTCTGTTTAATGCATCCCCACATGCAGCTTCTCTTACTGTCCTCATTATTCAGCCTTTTGAAAAATGAGTTTGCAGGACTTTCCAGATTTGGAAAATAAAAAGTGTTTAGGGGACGAATGACTGAAAGCTGGATCTAATATTGCCTGCAACAGGTTTTTTTTTTTAATCTATGGGAGCATTTTTTGGATAAATTCACTTTGTTCATTATCTTTTTTTTTTTCATAACTACAGAGTAAATTCCTGTTTTTCCTTTTAACATAATCAGGTTTTATCCAGGTATTTTGTAAGCAGATGAAAGGGAATCAAGATGTCCATATTCTCCACATCATCATACCGGTGACTGCTGATGTCATGATTTAGGAGATAAGTTATAAAGTAATTTTACCACAGTTGTGGTGCTCTTTGTCCCTGTAGGAATTACACGCTGGGGAGAATCAGATTGAAATCCTGAATGCAGAGAACCTGAAACAGCTGAGCTCCCTGTGCGTGCTGGAGCTCAGGGACAACAAGATCAAGGCAGTGCCCGAGGAGATCACGGTGCTGCAGAAGCTGGAGAGACTCGACCTGGCCAACAATGACATCAGTAGGTAATAATGGCACCTGGGCTGGGGCTGGGTGCTGGCAGCTCCTTCCTTCCTTCCTTCCTGTGGGAAGGGCACTTAAGGAATGACTCAGTCAGGAACCCTCTGTGTGTCGTGAGATTGTGTGTGATCAAACTGGGACTTGTCAAATGTTCTGTGTTCTGCCCATGGCTTAGGTGTGACTTGGAAGTGCTGTGAGGAGCAGCTGAGGGAGCTGGGAAGGGGCTGGAGCAGCAGGAGAGGCTGAGGGAGCTGGGAAGGGGCTGGAGAATTCCTGAGGGAGCTGGGAAGGGGCTGGAGAATCCCTGAGGGAGCCGGGAAGGGGCTGGAGAATCCCTGAGGGAGCTGGGAAGGGGCTGGAGAATCCCTGAGGGAGCTGGGAAGGGGCTGGAGAATCCCTGAGGGAGCTGGGAAAGCTCAGCCTGGAGCAAAGGAGGCTCAGGGGGAATTTCTGGCTCTGCACAAGTCCCTGGCAGGAGGGGACAGCCGGGGGGATTTGGGATCTGCTGCCAGGGAACAGGGACAGGAGGAGAGGGAACGGCCTCAGGCTGGGCCAGGGGAGGCTCAGGGTGGGCAGCAGCAGGAATTTCCCCATGGAAAGGGGGGTCAGGCCTTGGCAGGGGCTGCCCAGGGAGGTTTGGAGTGCCCATCCCTGGAGGTGCCCAAGGTGGCACTCAGAGCTCTGGGCTGGGGACAGGGTGGACATCAGGCATAGCTTGGACTTGCTGGTCTGGGAAAGCTTTTCCATTTTAAGTTAATCTGGGATCCTGCATCTTTTCATTTGAACCTGAGCTTCAGGATCCCTCTGATGCCCTCTGACCAGCCATTGCACGTTCTTTAGCAGCTGTTTTGGAGCACATGTGGAATCAGTTCTTTCCCTCTGCAGGTTGCCTTACACCCTGGGGAACCTCCCTCAGCTGAAATTCCTGGCGCTGGAGGGAAATCCTTTGAGAACCATTCGGAGAGACCTGCTGCAAGTAAGCACTGGGGTTTGGTGTTGTCTGAACATCTGCACAGGAAGGAGCTGGAGCTGCTGGAGAGGGTCCAGAGGAGGCACCAGGATGAGCAGAGAGATGGAGCAGCTCTGCTGGGAGGAAAGGCTGGGAGAGCTGGGAATGTTCACCAGGAGAGGAGAAGCTTTGGGGTGACCTCAGTGTGGCCTTGCAGGGCCTGAAGGAGCTCCAAGAGAGCTGGAGAGGGACTTTGGTCAAGGACTGGATTGGATATTGGGCAGGAATTGTTCCCTGGCAGGGTGGGCAGGCCCTGGGATAGAATTCCCAGAGCAGCTGGGGCTGTCCCTGGATCCCTGGCAGTGCCCAAGGCCAGGCTGGATGGGTTTGGAGCAGCCTGGGACAGTGGGAGCTGTCCCTGCCATGGCTGGGGTGGAATGGGATGGGATTTAAGGTCTTGTCTCAATTAAGGATCTAGGATTCAGTTCTCTCTTCTCTTGCAGGGAGGCAGCAAAGGGAGGGTGTGAGTTGTTCCTGAGAAAAGGAGTCCTTAGGGCAGCAGGGAGACTGGAGTGTGGGCACCACTCCTGCTGCAGAATTTCCCTGTTCTTTTTTCCCTGGCAGGCCCCTCTCCTCAGTGGTGCTGTACATTCCTACTTCTGTGCCTTTGCCAGGGTTGTAAAATCAATGTTCCCAAAGCCCTGGGATGCTCCAGAAATAAGCAGAACTGACAAGTCTGTGCTGCAGTGAAATCTGTAACATCTGCCAGGAGAGGGAAACCCTTGTGTGCCTGGCTGAGGGAGCACAGTGTGCACGGAGTTAATGAGCCCTTGTCCAAAGTGCTCCTGGAAAGGAGTCTGGGTCAGGGCTGCTGGAGTTCTGCTGTTCCCTGGATTACTGAGGATTTGCTGCTTCAGCTGCAGTTGTCACTCCTGGGCTGTATTTCCCACCTGGAGCAAAGGCCAGGCACGAGGAGTCTGTCAGGCCATGCTCTATTTGTGCTGCCTGGATCCATCACCAACACTATAAATTCGTGTGGCTGCAATTTTCTCTGCCTGGCTGGATTTTTTCCACTTGGTTTAGAGGACCAATTGATGGAGGAGCTTTAGGGCTCCCCAGGCACTGCTTGGAGCAGGTGGATACTGAGATAAAGGACTGGGGTGAGTGTAGAGGAGCAGCAGAATCTTCTCTTCTCCAGCCCTGCCCAGCTCACTTTCTCTTCCTCAGGCCTCTCATTCCAGTCCCAACCCCATTCCTGGTTCTTGATGAATTTCCAGTTGATTCCTGGTAAATCCTGGTGTGCTTTTGTTAACTCCTGTGCTGTTACTTGCCTCTGGAGCTTTGCCTTGCTCTCTGCTTTCCTCCCCACATGTCTGTCACTGAGATTTCAGACCTTCACCTTTCCCTCACAACTTCCCAGCTTGTTCCTTGTTGGCTTCCCTTGCCATGCCCAGCACAGCCCCACTCTCCCTGCCTGTCTCCTTGTGACAGTTCCTTCCTTTCCAACATTCACGTTCCCTTTATCCCTCTGTCTTCATCCAGTCTTAGGCTGTGTCAGCTGGAATGAGAATTGTTCATTCACATCCAGCACTTCAGGTCAGTCCCTGCTTCTGAAACCTGTAAAATCATACCCCAGACCTGTAAAATCGTACCCCAGACCTGTAAAATCATACCCTAAACCTGTAAAATCATACCCCAAACCTGTAAACTCATACCCCAAACCTGTAAAATCATACCCCAAACCTGTAAACTCATACCCCAAACCTGTAAAATCATACCCCAAACCTGTAAACTCATACCCCAAACCTGTAAAATCATACCCCAAACCTGTAAACTCATACCCCAAACCTGTAAAATCATACCCCAAACCTGTAAACTCATACCCCAAACCTGTAAAATCATACCCCAAACCTGTAAACTCATACCCCAAACCTGTAAAATCATACCCCAAACCTGTAAACTCATACCCCAAACCTGTAAAATCATACCCCAAACCTGTAAAATCATCCCCCAAACCTGCCTTTCCCCTAAAACCAACAGTGCAGAGGAGTTTGGGCTTCACAGGTTTGTGCTGTGTCTGACCACTGGAAGTTGCTCACTGGAAGTGAGAGGATTGAGGGAAATCTTTGGAGCTGT